TGTTGCTTGTGTAGTAGTAGTTGATGCAGTTGTACCAGTTCCTTGTGCAGTAGTGGTAGTAGAAGCAGTCGTACCAGCTGCTTGTGTAGTAGTAGTAGTTGATGCAGTTGTACCGGTTGCAGTTGTCGTTGTTGTTGTTGTAGTTGTTGTTGTTGTTGTTGTTGTTGTTGTTGCTGTTGTTGTTGTTGTTGTTGCTGTTGTTGTTATTGTAGTTGCTGTGGTAACAGTGGTTCTTGTGTATACAGGGATGAGCCCTAATACGACTACTACTATTGCAAAACCTGAAAAGGCACCCACACCTATTAGAAGAGTTTTTAGCGCTACCATGACAATTTTTCTCTAGATATTGTTGTAAAAATGTATTGTTGAAATTGAGTTGACTTGAGAATACAAAGGAAAAGATGTTCAAAATTGCTCTGTGTTTGATTATGTTATCAATAGCAACGCAACTGCTTTCTCTCAATCTCTTTTTTTCTCTACTTTTAATAATTATTTGACAAAAACATACATAGTTACTCTTATTTTTTATATACAGGTATGATACACCTACATCGCCGGAAAATAAGATTTTTTTTAAAGAAGAAAATCCTTAGGGATGGTAATTTTTTTTTATGCCAGCCAATTCTTTGCGTTTCCTTTATGAATTATCTGACGATAATTATTCTTCGTCTTCAACCAGTCAGATATGTTCATGTGATTTTAAAACGTAATAATAATGAGAGGAAAAGAACGGATTTTAACATAAAATATTAGACTAAGCATCAGTAAAAAATAAAGTAGAAGAACAGAAGAAAAGTAAGATTACATCGCGCAATGTCGTCAAGTTGTTTGCAATAATGAATATGCGATATGTCAACGTGTTTCAGTGCATTTTTTTATCTCTTCCATGTTCTCATCTTTCTTTTATCAATTACTCACTTCTAATGTTTAATGGTTGTTCATTCTCTGACTTATAAAAGGCGTAATTTTTAAATTAAAATTTGTTAAGCATGTAAAAACAGATTCTTCTGGATAATAGATTGAGAAGAGGATGTGCATAAAACCTGAGTATGTTTTTTTTTAGATTTTATTAGAGACAATAGATGAAAATAAAATCTGCTTTTCTCTAAAAAAAAAGAGGTAATGGGACGTAAATTGGTTACAAGCGATGGTTAGTAGTGGAATAATCGTCGAAAGAAAACGCATATATATATATATATGTGAATTTATTTGATTCCCGTATTTAAAATAAATGGTTTTATTAAAGTAAAAAAACTAACAGTAAGATGAATGGTAATACTCGAGTTGTATCTTAACGAGTAAAATACAATTACGTGAATTAGAATGTTTTACATTCATTCTTTATTTTTGAGATCATTATTGTAGCATAATATTTTTATGATTATACATGCAGAAAACAAATGAAAGTCGTAATAAAGCGTGCATACCGAATCAAGTATACATACTCTACTATATCCGGCTCTATAAATTGATTAACCTCATTTTATTTTCTAGTTTTCTGTATAAGAAAATAATTCTAAAAGTATTGTGACATGACACAGTAGTATCAATGTTTGATATAAGACAGAAACTTAAAAAATATATTTAAAGTACGGTAACTAAATTCCTTTTGTTTCTCTAGTATAGTTAACCTATTATTTACGGAGTGGGTTAAAATATATATACTTTGCTTTCGATAACAATGTAAAGTTAGTTATTTTACTTGTTTGAAAGAAATTAAAATGGAAGTACTTCTCTTAAATCATATGATAAATAAACTAATATTGTCGAAGAAAAACAATTTACGTACAGGTACCTCTGATATTTTAGCTTTGCTGAATATATCGTTACCATTTGTTATTTGTTATTAATACAAAATAGGTATCAAATCAACCGAATAGCCTTTTGTTCTTGTTTTCAGTATACAATATCAAATTCTTTGATACCAAGGTTTTTATATTATCTGTAAGATTTCTATACTATTATCTAGTTGAATTGAAAAATAAACAATTGGAAGATGTTTTTGCTCAATAGACACAAGGTAGAAATGTATGAGCTGGGTGCATATCCTTGTTATTTTAGTATTAATTGTGTCATGTTAAATGTATGTAATCATCACCTGAATAATTGAAGACATGTCAAAATACTGTTTTCTCATTAAACACGATGTATACTGATCTAAATATTTTATGAGATTGTTTTTTTCAAAGAAAAAATAACATTCAAAACGATGAAATCTTATTTTCGAACAACACGGTGCTCATTAATTGCAGAATTTCATTAAATAAATATGATTATTAAATGGTGTAAAACGTACATTTCTTTATTTTTAACTATTCTTAATGATTGTTTGTCATCGTATGATAATTTTATGTGAAAAAAAAATTGTATAAGATTCTTTCATTCTTTACATTTCAATGTCCTTATGAATAGCTAACAGAAATCATCACTTTTGATTATTCTTTGAAAGTCATTGTCTCTAGAACATCAATATTAAACAAAAAAAAATCTACGACAGATGTATTTAATAATCGATGTCATGACGAAGAACGACTATGCTGAAAATAATGATAATCGATATTCAAATGATCGTTCATATGATTCACTTCTCCAGCAATATGAATTCCATAGTAAATAAACATTTTTTTCCCTAATATTCAAGTAAAATATATAAAAGATGTAAGGATAAATCATTCCATTTTCTAATCAAAAGAATAATTAACAAATGAAATTGAAAAGATGACGTCAAAAAAATGTTGCTTCAAGTAATTCTTTGTGATTTTCATGTGAATAAAAATAGAACAGATAAACACAATTAATCCTCTTTATTATCGTTTTAATTAATTGAAAAATCTTATGTTTTATCTCTAAATTTATAAAATATTTTCTTTTTTTATTTAGAACCGAGTAATGATAAATTTATCGGTGATATTTATTTATATATTGGTGTAGTTATTGCTATTCTACTTATATTTTATGGTATTATATTGATGATTAAGAAGTGTTTATATCTATGTCAGAAAAAAGAACAAAGTATATTTTCAATTTTTTTATTTTTATTTTACAAAATAAATCTTTGATTTATTAGATATACAACCATCTGCATCTTTAACAAGAGGATCAAAAATTCGTAGAAATTCAAGCGTACGTAATTCATTATCTCCAAATCGTCGATCAAGTCTAGATATTCGTTTTCAAATGGAATGTCGAGGACGACGTCTATCACAAGCACATCTAATTTCAGTTATTACACGTCAAATTTGACTCGATTATTTTTTTCAATAAACTAAATATGATTCTTTTTGTATATAATCGAATTATCTCTTAGCTATAGTTGTTATTTACATGTATTTTCTTCTGAAAGTAATCATCTATAAAGAATATTCAATTAAAAATTACTTTTTTAAATATGTTTATTTGTGTCTTTATTATCTTAAATGATAGAGTAAGACAAAGAATAAAAATAATACTAGATGATGATTATATACCGAGAAAAAAAAGAGATCATTTAAATAACGTCAAGCAGCATTATAGTTTCTTCCAAATATCCTTTATTGATGATCCTGTTCTGATAAAATATCGAATTAAAATAATACAATGCATTGTATGAATGCAAGTTAATCGGTCCACCATATGACGTTTCTTTTCATTTTGAAAACCTGCATTATATATATATAAACCAAATATTGAAGGCGATTCTTTTCTTTTCTCCTTGTGTATTTTATTTGATAATTATGTTACTAGCTATAATTATAATTTTCATCAATTGTTTTCTTAATTCATTATCAGCTGTTGAATTACATATACATAAAAGTGTTACTGAAATTCGAGAGAATTACAAAGGTCATGGTAATATATATAATCATTTATTTTCAAATAGTGAATATGAAAATATAATTGATGGATCTATTAGTTGGAATGGAACATCATTTATTAAACAAGAATTATATAATACAGATGATACACTTAAGGATGCTTTTGTTATAGTTAAACAATTGAGTGCATGTGATTGTAAAATAATTCAAGCAAAAATTATTGATCCTCAGACTATGTTACTTGAAAATTTAGAGACAGGCACTTATTTCTATGCTGATAAACATTCGATCGAATATAAATATAAACGACCAAGTAAAAGTGGTGTTACATTAGCATTTCATTTTCATAATACAAAAACAAATTATAATGGAACTTTAGCATATTTAATAAAAGGCATAACATGGTTACCAAATTATGATTTATCAATTACAAATTTCGACAGTGAGTTGTTTATTGATTTAATTTTTTTGTATATTTAATTCTATTATAGCTTGTAGTCTTCGAGGTTATGCTGTTATTCGTAATAATCAACAACAAGAATATGAAGTAAATAATACTTATTTATATAGTGGTGATATTCAACTTGTCAAGAATCCTTCGTTAACAATATATCCAAGATATAATTCAAGTTCAGATTCTATTGAATTTAATAATGAAGAAAAAGGTTTTTATTCTTATTCATTTAAAGTTCCGTATACATTACGTTCATTGAGTTCAGTCCGTTTACCATTTATAAATATTACTCCTCAATGTCAATTTTATTATAAAGCAATAACAAGTATTCATACTGGACAATATAAAGGTGTTTTTCAACGTTATTATGATTTAATATCTAATCAATTTTTACCAGCTGGTATTTTAACTATTCGAGATAATCAAGTATTAATTGGACAATCGAATTTACCTGATTTGCCAGAAAATTATACACATACAATCACTCTTGGTCAAGATTCTGATATTCGTTATTCAATAAAAAGTAATTTAATATCATCAAATGAAGTACAAACAAAAGATAAATCACGTACATATTCTCTTGATATTACTATATCGAATTTTAAAAATAAGGAAATTACCGGTCAACTTGAATTTCATGGAACTAGTCATATAAGTCTTAGTGAATCAACATGTTTATCAGGAAAAACTGATGGAAATGCATATATTTTGTTATTAAAATTATAACAAGGTGAAATATATCGATGTCAATTTAATGTTATATTGAAATAAAAATATTTATTTTCATGCTATCTCAGACTCTTTGCATATGAAACCGAACTCTCAGCATTTTGAATAAGAATATGCTTCTTATAAAAATTTTCTCAAAAAATACATCTCATTAGATTTACTTAAAAATATTACGACATCGGACTTTTCAACTCTGAGTACATAGCTTTAAAATGCAAAATGCTTTTAGAAATATTAAAACTAAATAAGATTGAACAGCTTTTTGTAATGTTTATTAAAAAAGGAAACCTATTCGTTTTTAAGGTAAAAATAGTTTTCTCTCAGAAGACTTAAGTAATCATCATGAAAGTTCCGGAAGTACAAAAAAATGTTTTTTTTCTGTTCGAATTAATATTATAATTGAAATTATTTTTAAGAAAAGATTTATGTTTAGTGATTTTTACGCAAAATAATTTTAAATATTTTCGACCTATATTTTTTAAAATCGAGAACAGGAAATATGGACCATTAAAAATTGATTTGATACAAATGAATAGTGCAGAAGGAGAAAAAAAAATATTTGTTTTAATATGTAATGAGATAGAAAAAACTCTCTTCTTAACTTAATCTACTTTCATCTATAATAAGCCGTATTATATAATAATTAAAACTGAATATAGATTGAGAACCTTTTCTTTACACTACTTAAACATAAATGTCCGCAGAATAGAATTGAAGATAATTAAAAAAAGAAAAGCTCTTCTGCGTTCTTTTTCCGAGAATTATTTTAAACAGGAAATATTATCATTTTAAATAAAAAATTCTTTTTATAATCTAATCATACAATAGAACTACATATATCCAGTGGATTACTTTTTACAATCCGTCACGTAATCAATTAAATATATATTTGTTGAATTACAGAACGATTTTTTTTTATATAATTCTATTTTCATTTTAAAATAGAATCTTCAAATATCATCTCATCAATATTTCATGACATATAATAATAGCCGAAGTAAAAAGAATCTAGGTTATTTTATTTGATCATTCACCAACACCTTGATGATACATCTTTTTAAATCAAGGCTTTTATTAAAAGTTTTTCAATTAAAAAAAACATGTAATAATAGTTTCATTCAATACGTGCTCTTATTCCAGGTCATATATCAATAAGAAAAAGTTTTAATATGAAATTTTGCTTACTATTTACCGAACATCAATAATCGGAAATAGATGAAATTATTCGGAAATAAGTCGAATAATTTCTTAACGTTATTACATATTTTATAAGAAATTAAAATACGCAATAGTATAAATCATATGATTCATTCATATCAAAGATAGTTGCGTTACTAAATATATTTTAATGATTACTTGTCGTGAGCAGTTCCTGTTTACATAATTAGATTTCTTTTTAATCTTTAAAAAAAAATTATCTACAAAGACAGTTGATTCTATACAAAGTAGCTTATATGTAAATAAACAAAATTATGTAATCGAGATAAGAGAGTGCATATTTACCTCGTTGTATGATAAAATTTTCTTTGTTTTTTTATTATTCAATAATACTATATTTGTCACGACAACCGGTAAAAAAAACGTTTAGAGAAGAAAAAGAAAGACGCAATGCAAAGGGGATAGAGTGCACAAATAGAAAGTTTTATCACGATTTTGCTTCGAAGAAAATATTCTATTATAGAACTATATTGTGATTAGTTATTTTAAATTTTAATTCAAATATATAATAAAAAAGAGTAACTAATAATAATATTTTGTAATTACATAAAAGATTACTTTTTTAATCATAAGAATTAAGCATTTTTGCGTGCTTTATTTTGTCAAAATTGCTATAAAGAACAATTATTTGTTATTGAAAATCTAACTTTAGAATAAATATTCATGTCATTTAACTTAATTAAAATGAAATGAAATTATTTATACTTGTACAACAAAAAAAGAATCTTCTTTATTTAGAATAACTGAATAATCAATATTTAATATTCCGGAAAGGTAAAAAAAACAAATTTTAATATTAACCAGAATATATATCTCGTTTGTCTATTTATATTTTTATTATTAAACTGTAATTGTGGAAACATGTGAACATGCAAAAGAAAAACACACACACACACATATACACACAATTACATAATTTACGCAATCAACGTTGAGCGACATTAAAAAAAGAAAAAGAGAGAAGAAGAAGAAGAAGAAATTTTCAGCGAGAAAAAGAAGAACATATATCAGCTTGAAAATAAAAACAAACAAAAAAATTAATTCAAAGGAAGATAAACATAATCTGGATAATTTACCAGAATTGTTTTTTTATATAAAGATTGTTAAAAGATAAATTGAAAATAATTAATAAACTGCTTAGCAGTTATTAATGAGAATTCATTTACATATACATATGTAAAAACCAAATAGTCAACGAAAAAAAAAATATACGACAACTGAATATATATAAATTACATATTTACCGGTAAAAACATCATGAGATAATTGACAAAACACGCAAATAAAAACAAAGGAAGGAAATAAATTATTTTTGTACATAATCATCGTCATGAGTAACAACATCAATATGATGAAATCTTGCGTACGATGTAATAACAATGATAAATAATATTTTAAATCACGAAGTAATAGCTTGTTCATGTGACATGGAAACTAAATGTTGATATTGATCAAGTGTTGGCCAAAATTCACCTGAAAAACAAAAATAAATAAATAATTTAATTCTTTTTTTCGAATATCTTTATACATACGTTGTACATCGATAACATTTTTTAAACTATGTACGGCATATGCATTTGGTTTAGTTTCAAGAGTTTCTTTACTGAATGATGGTAACTATATTCGAAAAAATAAAATCAATTTTTGTATTTAGAAAAGAAACCAATCGTACTTCTCGACCAAGTAATGCTTCAACACATGATTTTCCACATTCAGCTAATGCATTTAATTCATAGCCACCTTCTAGAACTAAAACAACTTTTCCATCGGCAAGTTTCATCAATTGATTTGTCATATAACCAAAACCTAAGATAGATTAAAATAAAAATAAATCTTTTCTTTTTTTGATTTTTTATTACATGTTGGGGTTAATTCATAACCACCAAGTGGATGTGGATGTCCCATACAAGCATCAAAACCACATGAAACAAGAATTATTTGTGGTTGAAATTGTTCTAATATAGGCATAACAACAGTTCTATCAAAAATAAAATAATTTACTTTTTCTATCAAATTTTATTTTGTAAATAATAAAATTACCTGAATGCTGCTAAATATTCTACATCAGTCATAACTGATGTTGGTTCACCAGAAAAAGCAATATTTATATTTTTACCAAGACCAGCATCACTTCCACACTATATAAAATTAAATTTTCAATTTTTCTATGCTATCTATATTTACTACACTTAAACAAACCTCTTCAATACGCCCACCACCAGGAAAGTATGTTCCATTATCATAACGATGTAATGATATATAAAGAATATTTGGATCATCATATGTTAAATCTTGTGTACCATTTCCATGATGTATATCCCAATCAACAATAGCAATACGTTCAAGATTTCGATTTTTTTTCAAATATTTCGCTGTTATAGCAATAGTATTAAAATAACAAAAACCTAATGGTTTTTGTGCGGCATGATGACCTGGTGGACGTACAAGTGCAAAACCATTTTTTAATTTACCATCAAGTATATATTTCGATAATTCAATTGTATTACCAATAGCTAAACGGCAAACACGTGCTGTATATAATTCATTCCAAATTGTATCAACATCATCATGAATACCAAAACCACCGCATGGTAAATGTACAATTGAACTTAATCGTTGAGTTAATAATGCTGCTGATTGTTGTGTACGTTGTCGTTGATCACAACCAAATAAATAAACATGAGTAGGACTAGAAATTAGAAACGAAAAGATTTTTATTTTTCTTCGATTTTTTTGTACAACATACTTATGACAATCAGTTAACATATCAATAGTTGCACAACAACTACGAATAATTTCACAATCATCTAATAGATTACATTTTTTTAAATGTTCATAGATAACAAGTAAACGACGAGGATTTTCAAGATGAAGATCTGTACGTTTACAATAACATTCATGTTTTAATGATTCATCATCATAAACAACACCAGTAGTAAAATGCATTTTTGTTGAACCTAAAGTACTACTTTGTAATTTCTTATCTGTTGTTGGTGCTATTGCTGATAAAGATGATAATGATTTGGAATGTAATGCTAAACGATCATTTAATAACTATAAAAATGAAAAGAAAAACAACGATATGCTTATGTATATATATATAAAAGAATCTTGTATTACATTTGAATTTTTAATAGAAAAATCATTGGATTCAAAATTAAATATTTGTGGTTGACTACTATGCATTGAACTATGACTATTATGAGCACTTTGAATTTTCGCTTCTTCTAATTCTTTAGCTAATAATGCTTCATTTTCTTCTTCAACAATAAAATGTTTTGGACCAAGAATATTTGTACGATGTGAATTATCATGTGTAAGATTTAAATGTTTTTGTTGACCATTATTAGTTCCCGTAAGTGAACCTGCTGAATAACAACTATAAAGTTTTCGTTGAAGATCATTTAAATCGAGCCATAATTGCTCCGGAGGTGGCATTTGAGCTGATTGAGAATCAAATGATATTATTGGAATAGATGGCACTAAAAATAGAAATAAATGATTTTATTTATTTTTTTATTTCGTGCTCGAAAAAGTACATCATATGCTACATTACACTTCTAACCCAAGGAACATAATTTTAGAAGAATAAAAATCATAAAAAAGAAAATATTTTTTTTTCTCCAGCCAAAACAACCTATGCTCATTCAAGTGCAATTCCATTGAAAAACAGAAGTTTTTTTTTATATCATAAAAATAGACTTTATAAAATATTAATGAAAAATCTTCTTCATATATTCTTCTTTTTTTTTTGACAACTCAATGTGTTTTTCTTAATATTTATATTAAACATACTTGTATGTTGTTGTTTTTGAGCAAGATTTGTTGAACGTATTGGATGACGTTTATCTGACATTGGTGTAATATGTCGATGGCGATGAAGAATACTTTGACGTAAATCAGATTTAATTTTGAAACTGCCTGATTCAAGACGTGGATTAGCAAGTACAGGTTCTGATTGAAATCGTCGTAACATATCAATTGATTCTTGATTTCTATTTAATTATTTTAATTTTCCTTGAGAAAAAATCTATATAGTTCTTTAATTTACCCTAATTTGCCTTCTTTTTGTAATTTTCGACATATAAAACTTTTTAAATGAGTTTTAACTTCAGCCGAAGCATTTGCACCTGAAAAGATAAATATAGATATGCCCTTGATAATATATAAAAATAAAATAAAATTATACTTTGATCTTTTTTATCTTTTGTATGAACACGTATTTTTTCTTCTTCAAGGCGTGTTCGTTCCATAGCGGATGATGCCATTACAGCAGCCGTTGCAGCTGCTAGAGCTACTGTCACAGATTCTTGTCTATCAGAATCTATCAGATGTGAATAAGGAAGCTAAAATAAATATGAAGAAAAAAAA